ACACACAGACACACACACACACACACACACACAAACAAACAAACAAATACATTCAGATCCTATCTAACCCTGAGCAGTTATTTTTACTGCACTGTTCCCTTGGGTTAAATATGTCTGCACATATGGTAATTATTCTACTTGCGTATCTCACCCCACAGAGAAAAGAACGGACAAGTCTGCTGTTTCTGGTGCCATCCGTCTTCAAATCAGTGTGGAAATTAAGGGTGAAGAGAAAGTGGCCCCCTACCACGTCCAGTACACCTGTCTACATGAGGTAGAGCAACACAACCAGCTCACAGACACCACAGCAGCTGCCTGACATGCATTTACCATGTACAGATCTCTCATTATCAGGCAGATGATGCTAGTCTTTTAGTCACTAATATTTAGTCTCTGTTGTTTCTCGTAGAACCTCTTTCATCACATCACAGATGTCCTCGGTCAGGGTGTGGTGAAAATCCCAGAAGCCCGTGGCGATGATGCCTGGAAGGTTTTCTTTGACGATGTGCCGCAAGAGATAGTGGATGAATTTGCAATGCGCTATGGGATTGAATCCATCTACCAGGCCATGACGTATGTATTAATCCACCCTCTATACTACTGTCAGTTTTCTTCATATTTCTTCATTCTGTTTCTTCATTTCTAATTTTATCTTTCTTATTAAAACACTTGATCTTTAAACATCACATACATTTGGCCATCCAAGATATAGATGAGTTGTTTTGTTCATCAGAACAGATTAGGAGAAATGTAGCATTACATCACTTGCTCAGCGATGGATGCTCTGCAGTGAATGGGTGCCGTCAGAATGAGAGTCCAAACAGCTGATAAAAACATCACAATAATCCACAAGTAATCCACACCACTCCAGTCCATCAATTAATGTCTTGTGAAGTGAAATGTTTGCAAGAAACAAACCCATCATTAGGCATTTTTAACTTTTTAATTAACTGTATTTTGGCCAGAAGCAACAGTTTGAAGTTAAAAACATTTTAATGATTGATTTGTTTCTTACAAACACACAGTAGCAATACATTTATTGAAGTTGTGTGGGTTATTGTGATGCTTTTATCAGCTATTTGGATTCATTCTGACGGTACCCATTCACTGCAGAGGATCCATTGGTGAGCAAATGATGTAATGATATATTTCTGCAAATCTGATGAAGAAACAAACTCATCTACATCTCGGATGACCTGAGGGTGAGTAAGTTTTCAGCTCATTTTCATTTTTGGTGAACTATTCCTTGTTATTGAATAATGTTATATTAATTCAATCAGATCATCCAGTACTGATGGAAAATGTACAAAGAGAGTCATTTTTTGTAATTAATTTATTAGTTATATAATTTAGTTTTGTAGTTCACATTTGTGATTAATTTAAAGGGATAGTTCACCCGAAAATGAAAATTCTTCATCATTTACTCACCATTATGTCGTTCCAAAGACTCCTTCAAAACACAAATTAAGATATTTTAATGAAAACGGAGAAGAGGTGTCTGTCCCTCCATTGAAAGTCCAGGTAACTAAAACTTAGAAAGTCCAAAAAGGTCATAAAAGTGTCGTAAAATGAATCCATATGTGAATCAAGCAGTTTAATCCCAGTCTTGAGATATCATTTAATTTATGCTTTTTACATATAAGCTTGAGACAGTCAGGATGAGTCTATTTAGCTGATAGCTGTACTGAAGCAGTGGTACACGACAAGATGTTATTGCAAGTTTTTAGCATTTAAAAAAACTACAGCCCAACTATAATAACTTTGCCAATCAGTGAAGGTTAGTGAAGGATGAATAAATGTAGTCTTCTCCGTGGCAGTAGCTGGATCTTGGCTAGCAAGGGCTGTAAAGAAATGAACTCCTGATGTCTGTGGATGTTAATGGCTTGAGTACGAGTCAGTCTCGATCAGGAGTCAGGAGGGTGAGGAGATGCTCATTAATGGAGCACATCGCTCAAATAAAGCACACGCAAGCGGTCATAACTCACTCTGAATGGGCCACAAGGCCAGAAAATAATAAGTTGAAGTATTAAAATACCTAAAACTGAAAAAAAAAAAAAAACTAACACAAAATTACTGAAAATTTACAATGAAAACAGAAAATATAAAAATAAAATGTAATATTTCAAAATATTAACAAAAACTATAATTTCGACTATAATGTCAGTATATCAGTGATACTAAAATAACACTGCTTATAAGTGGCTCATTTGGAATACTTTACAGGATTTCAGGAGAGTTTGACGTTAGCATGTTGCTAAGCTAACTGTGCAATACACAAATATTAATGTACAAATACTAGGTAACATTTCAATTGCATTTAATAAATGAATCATTTAATTGCATGTACACTAATTACACTGAGCTATTTTTATAGGTTTATTTATAATTAACATGTCTCTTGTCTTGCCTGCCATCTTGGATTTATTTTTTCACTTAGCTTATTGCAATGCATTCTGGGATTAAAAGAATAAATGTGATGCTGTCTTCAAAATCTAAATGACTGCATTTTTGAAGACAGTTTGATCTTTATAGTATAATCCTTTTGAAACGGCTTTCTCGTCAGGAGTGTATCTAGGCCTACCTAGGTTTTGGAATAGAGTGATTGTCTTTCTTTGCACAAAGTGGATGTATAGTGGATATGTTTGAAGAGAAGCACTTTTATCCTCTGCATCTCCCCTCTCTTTGTTTGTACAGGCACTTTGCATGTCTCTCATCTAAGTATATGTGTCCCGGGGTCCCTGCTGTGATGAGCACCCTGCTGGCCAACATCAACGCCTACTACGCCCACACCACTGCATCCACCAATGTCTCCGCTAGCGACAGATTTGCTGCATCCAACTTTGGGGTGTGTTCGACTATCACACAGATTGTAAAGAACACATACACATAAAAGCATGGGCAAGATCATTTATTTAATTTTTATTTAGTTCTTTTTTTGTTATTATTTCATAGATGCCAAGTAATTAATTATGGTAGCTTTTTTTGCAAAGAAATAGCATGTTTAAATGTAAAACAAAATGCTGATAACTGTCATCGAACTAAAAACACTTAAGTTTTTGAATATTCTGAACTTCTGATCATTTGTGAAGATTGTGTAAATGATGGAGGAAGTATGGTAGATAAAGTTATGGAAGAGAAGCACAGAAAAACCATTGACCATATTCAGATGCTTAATAGTGCAAAATCGAAAGACCATTTTGAAAATGGAGGTGTCTATTGTGGCAGTTTTTTTTGTCTTGTATTGACTGACCAGCTAAGTAAAGCACCATGGGACACACAATTCAATGTCACCATTATGGATTGGAACACTTGAGCTAATTGCAAGCTGTAATTATATTGTCAAGACAACAGGGATCATGGATTTTGATTTTGATCTCTAAAAAAGACCAAAAAGACCCATAATGTTTTTAAGAGTTGTCCATAGGTCTTGTGCACTGTATGTGTATATATTGATGCATTAGCTAAATATTTCCTGTCAGTGTCCTGGATGGCTGAAAATCTTGCTTAATTTTTCTCGTCTTGCAGAAGGAAAGGTTTGTCAAGCTCTTGGATCAGCTGCACAATTCCCTGCGCATTGACCTCTCAATGTATCGAGTGAGTGTTGGCGGTTTAAACCGTTTTTTTCGTTTACAATTTTTAGATCATACATTTGGTGAATTATCAGTTTCTGTCTCTTCTCTTTCTCAGAACAACTTCCCTGCAAGCAGTGAGGAACGTTTACAGGACCTCAAATCTACAGTGGACCTCCTGACCAGCATCACTTTTTTCAGAATGAAGGTAAAGAAGGAAAAACAAAAATTGTTGGTTTTGATCCCCAATCTATATTTTCCATCAGTGCTCATTTTGTCCTTCATTTACACTGTTTACTGTCTCACTCTGGACAGGTCCAGGAACTGCAGAGTCCGCCGAGAGCTAGTCAGGTTGTGCGAGACTGTGTCAAAGCCTGCCTCAACTCCACGTATGACTACATCTTCAACAACTGTCAGGAGCTGTATAGTCGCCAATATCCTCAGATCGGAGACACGGTTAGATGATCTTTCATCTACCACCTACTGTTTATGACTGTAATGCTTTGAATTCTCGCATGATTTAAAGCTGAAGTGTGTCATCTGTGGGCCACAAGCTTCACCAAACTGTGTGGCATAAACAGCCTCACCCCCAGACTAACGCCATTGGTTGAGCTGGTGTTGCTCTGCTGGGCTGTTGAGGATGCCTAAACACACCATTTAAAGGGGCCGTTCACACAGAAACGCGTTTTTCCTTTCTTCTGCGCTACTTTTCCATCATTGTTCTATGTAAACGCCCTAGACGGACGTGTTTGACTGTTGTGCTCGCATCTCAGCATCTTTTGTAGCGTCTCGCGAATGACACAGCGTTCTTAAAACACGCCACTCAAGTTTAAAAAAAAGTGTTTTTTTCCCTTTGTTTACACTTTTCATTGGTGATCAACAGCGAATGACTACTTATACTATTATAATTATATTTATTATTACAAACTATTTATTACTATTAATTATTACTATTGTAATACTGTTATAGCATTTATTAATATTTTGAGTTGACTTTTACATATTTTCAGTTTTCCTTTTAATTTTAGTAATTTTCTCATGTCCTTTATTTTTTTTTAATTAAGCCTTTATTTTATTTTTTTTACCTTTTTTTTTGTTGGTATTAGTACTTATTTCAGATAGTTGCCAATGCAACATTTCTCATTTTCTTTTTTTTTTCTTTTTTTTTTAAGTTTAAGATTTTATCTAATATTTTTATTGTTTTATTTCATCCTTATTTCAATTAACAAAAGCAAATTTTATGTTTTGTTGTATGTTTTATGTTTGTTTTTTATAGTTTTAGTTAAAAATAATAACACTGTTTTCACAGTGTAAAATGTATATTTTTAATAATTTTTTGAATTATTTAAAAAAAAAAAATTTTTTATAATTTAAAATGTCTGTGTTAAATGATAAATTAAAACTTAATGATAAAAAAACTTAAATGATTATTTGAATTGAATTATATAATGATAATTAAATGATTAATTATAATTAATTAATTTACTATGAATCAAGCAAATGATACAGATTTTTTTATTTAATTATTTTGTTTGTTTGTTGGTTTGTTTTTTTGTCAGCATAAGGACGAGTGCACCCCAGAAGATCAGGGCCCGAGCATCAAAAACTTAGACTTCTGGCCCAAACTCATTACCCTTATAGTGTCCATCATTGAGGAGGACCGGAACTCCTACACCCCTGTCTTAAACCAGTGAGTGTGCACACAAACCTGAAATACTTACCCTATCCATCTCTTATTTTCCTGCCATCATGTGTCACATGACCTGCCATCATGTGTTCCTGTTTCTCCACAGGTTTCCTCAGGAACTGAACGTTGGGAAATTGAGTGCAGAGGTCATGTGGAATCAGTTCTCTCAGGATATGAAGTACGCCATGGAAGGTCAGTAACAGTTTGGTCCATTGATTTAGTATATTGGAGCCGATATGACCTTTTTGTTTAGCCACCAAATGTTGTTCATATTCACATATTCTTGTTCGACAGAACATGAAAAACACCGGCTGTGTAAAAGTGCAGACTACATGAACCTGCACTTCAAGGTCAAATGGCTGTATAACGAATACGTGAAGGTTCTGCCAACCTTCAAGGGAGTTGTGCCCGAATACCCTACGTGAGTGAGCTCTTCATCATCTCAACTAGCAAACACAGAAGTAAAAGCACTTTTGATATTTGTTCACATTATGTCTTGCCTTTTCCAGGTGGTTCCAACAGTTTGTGCTGCAGTGGCTGGATGAGAACGAGGATGTGTCCATGGAGTTCATGCATGGAGCCCTGGAGAGAGATAAAAAAGATGGAGTAAGATGTCTTTCAGTGCAATTCCCTTCGAATAGCCAGCTATCTTTCACACATTCTCATCACTGAAGTGTTTCTTGGCCTTTATGATGCTCTTGTGCCCACAAACGGGTCATTGTGCCTTTCAAAACTGTTTAACAGTTTAAAATTTTTGCCATCTGCAAGTTTTTCAAGAGCAATTATATTAATTGTACAAAAATGTGTTTCTTCGTGCTTGTTAAAGGAATAGTTCACAAAAAAAAAAAAAAAAAGTTTTGCAGACAATTTACTCACCCTCAGGACATCCAATATGGAAAATAATATATTTCATAATTTGAACAGATTTGGAGAAATGTAGCATTACATCACTTGTTCACCAGTGGATCCTCTGCAGTGAATGGGTGCCGTCAGAATGAGAGTCCAAACATCTGATTAAAACATCACAATAAAACACGCCACTCCAGTCCATCAGTTAACAACTTGTGAAGAGAAAAGCTACATGTTTGTAATAAACAAATCCATCATCAAGACGTTTTTAACTTCAAACGGTTACTTCTGGCTAAAATACATGTGCTTTATTCATAATATTGCCTTTTTCCAGTGAAAATGTTGTCTTGTCTGAATCAGGGGAGAAATATGCACAGATCAAGCACCGTTTACAAGTGAAAACAGTCCAAACAGTTCTGAAAAAAATTATGTTGGTAGATTTTGATGTGGGAGGACAACAGGGGATTTACTTTTTCACTGGAGGAAGTGTTATGGATTATGGGTTCATATTTTGACCAGAAGAGACCATTTAAGTTAAAATGCCTTAATGATGGATTTGTTTCTTACAAACGCGCAGCATTTTGCTTCACAAGTCATTTATTGATGGACTGGAGTTGTTGTTGTTTTTATCTTAATTTTATATCTTAATCTTAATTTGTGTTTTGAAGGAGTCTTATGGGTTTGGAACAACATGATGGTGAGTAAATGATGAAGAAAAGCACATAAGCATCTCAAGGCACAATACAAGTATCAAATTGTTACAGAATTAAGAAAGTGAAAAAAAACAACAACAAAAAAACAAAGCAAGCATAATATATGTCTACATACTTATGAACATATAGTCACAATAATTTAAGCATACAAATATCTAAACAAGCAGGAGGAAGAAAAAAAAAAGATTACTGTGATGCTTTAATCAGCTGTTTGGACTCTCATTCTGACGGCACCCATTCACTGCAGAGGATCCATTGGTGAACAAGTTATGTAATGCTACATTTCTCCAAATCTGTTCACATGAAGACACAAACTCATCCACATCTTGGATGGCCTGAGCATGAGTACATTTTCAGCACATTTTCATTTTTAGGTGAACTATTCATTTAAGAAATACGCACCACCCTCATAACTATATAATGACGGATAGTCATGCAAATTGTCCAATAATCATGCTATATAAATAAAGGTGACCTGACACACACACACACAAAAAAAACTGAAATGGAAATGGCATTTCAATGATGTGCTTCTATCTCCGCTACAGTTCCAGCAGACGTCAGAGCACGCTCTCTTCTCCTGTTCAGTGGTGGACGTCTTCACCCAGCTCAACCAGAGCTTTGAGATCATCAAGAAACTGGAGTGTCCCGACCCCAAAGTCATGGCCCTCTACAGCCGCCGGTTCGCCAAGGTGGACAAGCATCCCTCCTAATCCGATTACAAATAGATTCATGTCAGAACAAATGTCAGCTTGTCAGAGTATTATCTTGTTTCTAGAATTATCTGAGATTTCTGAGAGAATGGCCCCTTTTTAGCCAAAGGGTATCTCAGTGCGGAGCAAATGAAGAATATAATTGGAGCAAAAACATTTGTCTGAAAGAATGAGATTCTGTTGTAACCAAATGAAAATGCTTAATGCAGCCATTTCCATTAAGCTTCAGTCAGTCCCCAGAGCAAGTCTGGCCAGCTTCTCTGAGAGAAATGCAAAGCTCCCTCTAGATCCTTTATCAGACACGTGGAGAGCTTGTTCTGATCTCCAGCAGTTTTAAGATAGCAAACGCAAAGCGCTGAGTGCTAAGATGAGCTCCAGAGAGTTTCTGCTAGATTTCCTAAAATGTTAGCCTGCTTTTTCATTTTTTTTATTTGTTTGGTAATGCTACCGACTTTTGAAAAACGTTAAGCTGAGTTCTTATTTCTTTGTCTTCACAGACCATTGACAAAGTTCTGCTACAGTACAGTGCCATTTTGAAGAAGAGCTTCCCGTCCTATTGTGATAAGGAGAAGATTGTAAGTTGTTCTCCTGGTAGTTAACACTGATGTTTCTGTTAGTTGTCATCTTTTCTAATAAATCTCTCGTGTCTTTCTCTTTGTCCTCAGCCATGCGTCTTGATGAATAATGTCCAGCAGTTGCGTGTCCAGCTTGAGAAGATGTTTGAATCTATGGGTGCCAAACAGGTAGGAGAGCAGCAGGGGAAGGTGACCTTCTCTAAGCAAAGTCATTTGTCCTCTCCTCATTTGTCTGGGACATCAGAGGACATCAGGTGCCGGCCTGTATTCTCTCTCAGCATATTAAGAGAACTCTTTCCCTGTTGTGTCCAGATGGGCTTGATGCAGCATTGTTGTGTTGTCATTTATACAGTCAATGTTTGGCTTGCAGGTTTATTTAGGAATGATATAAATAACAGATTGTGCTAGTTTCACAGCTGTTATTTTTTACTTTGATCATTTCATTATACTTGGCTTATATTGCGTTCATTACTGTTTTGGCTGATGTTAAAGCCGCATTTGTGTCTTTTCTCCTCGGATTGCCACAGAGGAGGCCAGGGTATGACTAGAATTTAGATCTCTTTAGTTGGTAGGAAAATTAGAGTCGTTTTTGAGCCGTTGCGAATGACTGTCAACCTGAAGGTTTGATTTTTCTCATAGATAGTTGATGGCAGACTCTAGAAATATGTAAAGAATATAATTAACATTATTTATTTATTTTTTAAATAAAGTTGGATGCAATAGTGGACCCTGAGGAGGAGGAGGAAGAGGTTTGTACACAAGAGATGTTGTGTCCCAAAATACACATATCTATAAAGTGTGTGTGTTCCTAAAGGTTTTGAGAGAGACATGTTATTACACTTTCTTCTGTGATTAATCAGGTTATCGAGGAAAATGTCAAAGATGGCGAGGTGGGTACAAGTAGGTTAGATGTGTTAAATAGCTCAGCTCTGGCCACTCACCCAAACTCCAATCTAGTGAAACCATTTACATAGAATTAAATAAAGTAGTTTTGAAAGTAGGGTAGTTGCTTGTGTTGTACAGTATATTGAATTTTTGCTTAATTAGAACCCTGATGTCATGAATCCTGTTGGATCGGGTGATGTTGAACTTGTTTGGTTATATTCATTTGGGGAGGATGAGAGATTGTGGTGAGTGAGTGTGTGTGTGTGTGTGTGTGTGAGTTGTGGCATTAGTTGAGTCTCAGTCTGATTAGTAAAGGATTAGTGAATTCTTGCGTTCGTTTCTGTGCCTGAGACAGTGACATCAGACTCTCCACATTGCTGATTTGTTTATTTCCCTTTTACTTGATATTTGTATTATTATTTTGTTAGATTTGTTGGACAGCAGGTCTCATAAATCCCAGTCATGCCTTGGTTTCAGGCTGCTTTGGTTGACTAAATGTTGTCTTTTAAAACTTGTTGGATGATTCCCCCTTTTTTCTTTATAATTTATATAAAAAAACTGAGTAATTCTGTATATGCACTGAAAAAAAAAAATCTTAATGCATTTTTTTCTTGTTTTTCAGTAAAAAAAAAATGTAAACACCCTTAAAACAAGACAAAAAAACAGCAAGTAAACAAGTAAAACTGCATAAGATATTATGAAAAATAGTTCATTGAAAGTGGAAAATAAAAAGTGGAAAAACTAATGAATTGAAATTTTTTTCTACCCCATTGGAAAATAGAAAAATGTAAATATCTCACTCATCTTTGTCAGATTTGTGCTTAAAACAAGAAAAGTAGAAAAATACAAAAACATTTAATTTATTAATTCATTAATTGAATTATAAAATTAAAACAATTATAATAATAATCTTTTGACTTGACATTATTTTTTTCCAGTAAAATAATGAAACATCATAAAGCATGTACTTGGGAAGTAACATTAAGAAAAATAATCTCGTATTTAATTTTCTCATTTATTAAATAAGTCTTAATATCTTATGCAATTATACTTATACTGTAATTAAATTTCTACATTTATCAGGTTTAAATGATGTTTCAGGGGTTTTTTTACACTGGGAAACTAGTAAAGCATTTTTAATTAATTAATTTATGTTTATTGTTGTTTATCTCCCCATTTACTGAGCAATAGAAAACTGGTGACTTTTTCCTTCCTTTCTTTAGAGTGACTATAGGGCTTATTAGGTGGTTCTAAAGGAGCTTGTCCCATTTGCATCCACGTTTCAGTATGTATGTATATCAATCTAAAAAAAAAAAAAAAACGGGAGGTTTGTTATTGGGCTCATCCATGCTGGATTCATAGTTGTGTTTCATCCGTTACTGTCCTTTTAATCCAACAATCGCCCAAGCGCCCCATTTCAGCCCACAGGCACGCCGCTGTCCCAGTCGTGTCTGAACTGTGTGTGAACTCCCATCCGTGCCTCAGCCCCTTGAACACTGGCTCACTGTGACCTTCATCTCGTGTCTGTATTTTATAGGGGAATTTATTACATTCGGGAGAAAACTTCACTCATACCCTCCACAAATCTGCAACCCGCAACCTCAATGTACAGACTAAATTTCAAATCAGTAAAGGCCAAATAAATAATAGTCAGGGTTATACTGTATAGCTTTTATGTAATGTACACCACCATTCAAACGTTTGGGGTCACTAAGATTTTTTTATATTTATTTTAATTTTTTGAAGAAATTAATACCTTTATTCAGCAAAGATGCAGTAAATTACTCAAAAATGTCAGTAAAGACATCAATATGTTACAAAGGAGATCAAATAAATGCTGTTCTTTTGAACTTTCTATGGATCCAAAATTAATGAGAAAAATAGCATTATGGTTGCCACAAAAAAATGAATCAGCACAACATTGATAATAATAAGACATGCTTCCTGAGCAACAAATCAGCATAATATAATGATTTCTGAAGGATCATGTGACACTGAAGACTATAGCTCCTCCCTCCCTCAGTCCTGCTCTTAATTAGTCTAGTTAATTTTATGGGGTTGAAATGACTAAAAGTTAAACATTCCTTTACTTTGCTCTTTCTGAAGGTGGCGGTCAGCAGTAAACAGGTGGGTTATGCAAACTGTGCGGTTATACAGTACATGTGTGTGTTTGAGAGCTCATAAACAGAGCCCTTATACAGTAGAGGACTACAGTTCGGTCTTTCTTTATTCCCCCCCCCCCCCCCCCC